CAATGGGATTAAAGGCCCTTAGTTAAATTCAATGATTTGTTGTTGTTGTTAATCCTCACTTGAGGATATTTTTTCTATTGACTTTTAGAAAGAGTGGAAGGAGGAAAGGAGAGAGAAAGAAACATTGATGTGAGAGAGACGCATCAATAGATTGCCTCTGGCTTGCACCTTGACCAGGGCTGGAGGAAACCTGAAACTCAGGTAGTACGAGCTCTTGGCTGGGAATCCAACCTGTGACCTTTTGGTGTGTGGGCTGACATTCTAACCACTCAGCGACATCAGCCGGGGCTAAATGCCAATTTTATTTCTTTTCAATTTTTATTTTAGCTATAGATTTTTTTCTAAATTAAATTTTTAATTGAATTCATGACTTCTAATTTCCCAGCTGTCAGGTGCTCTGGGCAGAGCTTCTTGACCTGGTCAAGCTGGTCAGAACCATTAGGAACAGAGTCCACAGGCCAAGCCCGGAGCAGCGATTCAGTAGAATAGGGATTCTGTCTGACACAAGAAACTAACAACTGGGAGATCTGTTTAGAGGCAAAAAGCCTTGTCTTCCACTTTCTCCCTCTTCCTCAGACTACGTCCTAAAAAATAAATGCGATGAATAAATAAAGACAGTTTTCAAGATGTTCACAGAAGGACTTTTTTTTTTTTTTTTTTTTTTTTTTTACATTTTAAACTAGTTAATACAAAAACATTACAATGATTGACTTCTTTCATTTAGTTACATAAATAAAACTTTTTATAAATATCTCTTTATAAACAATATAAATAGCTTTACAACATAAATACATTTATGCATGACATGAATTTACACACAGCAATGTTTACAGCTGGCTTTGTCAGTCTCTGAAAAACTGTCCCTTGTCATCAGGTCGGTGTAGGTGTGTGTTTCATGTATACTATATATATGTAATATATATAACTTTTTATTTTTCCTTTTCATAACAAACAAACAATAAAATCATACCCCCTCCCCAAATAATAATAAAACAGCTGGTGTTGCCTATTCCCAGTACCGCAAGGGGGAAAATAAGAAAGAAATGTAAAAGCCACATTGCCTTGGAGGTGCTTCCAGATGACCAAGGATAATCTCAGCAAAACGGAGCAAGTTCCCAATCCTGAAACACAGAGGGGACACGGGACACTCAGTGCTGGCCCTCAGCGGAGGGAGCCCGGCCTGCCAGGCAGTTCTAGAACCTTCCTCTCCTTTCCCAAAGGAGCAGGATGCAGTGTCCCTCCACCTGGGCCCCAGGCAGAAGGAAAGGGGCCTTCCACGCCACCCTTTCCTAGCTTCATCTCCCCTCCACTGTGACACTGGCACTTCCTGCCCTGGCACAGGAGGAACCAGAATGTCTGCCAGCCAGCTGCCCCTCTGGCTAACCGCAGGCCTTGCCCTTGGCTCAGGGACACATGATGAGGGGAGGGAGATGGTAAATACCCCTCTTTCCCGTCCTTGCTACAGCACAAACCCTCCGTCAGGTGCTTGCCTCAGCTTTATGTGTCTGGATGACAGTGGGGGGAAAAGAAACATCGGAGGAATCAGGAATTCTGGGCTCAAACCCCAGCTCTGATATTTATTTTCTGGAAGGCCCTGGAGAGCTTTGAGTATGGATTCCCTCACCCATAAAATGGGATAATAGCCACCTCCCAGGGTGTACAAGGGGTCATGCAGAGCGTCTGGGTCACAGCTGCCACTCAGTAAATAGCACTTCCTTCCCCAGCTGGCTTCACCTCAAAGGGTCTCCTCCTTCTGAAGAGAGGAACTGGTGTCTCAGCAGCCTGGAGAAGTGAATAGTCTCCCGGGGTGTGCTGGGGTTAGAGCGATAACCCCAGAGTCAATTCAGGAGGGCTGTACGGGTGCTTCGGGGTGGAGGAAGGCATCCAACCCCCCAGAACAGTCAGTGCAGAGGGACCCCAGGCCTGGCCTGATGAACTCTCCCACAGCTCCCTTTTCTGACCGTCTCCTGTGTTTAAACAGATGACAGATGTCTGTGATGTCCCAGGGGCCCGTGGGCAAGGTGTTCATTCAGGCATTGGACACACTCAGTCTCTGTCATTACCATTTTGTAATCAAGACTATAATCATCAGCGACAGTCATTATGGTGGCTGCTTAGAGCTAAGGTTGTGGGGATGGGTGGGTTAAGGGTGTTGGAGGGGGGTGTTCAAGAAGTTGACCAATTTCCCTGGACCAAAGGGTTGGGAAGTCTTAGTAATCTAGATTCCTCCTGCACAGCCCCCATTGGATCATCATCTGGTACCCATGGACAGGCACACTCAAGAACAAGAGCCTCTGGGGGACATGCATATCAGGTAGTTTCCAGGCCCTCACCTCATCTCCCGCTGACCCATAGAATAAATTGATTCTAAAGTTTGTCCAGATTCTAAAGTTTGAGCTTGGTGCTTAAGTCACAAGTGGAAAAGTAGAGGCCCGTGTCTCCCAACTCTTTGTTGTTTAGTCTGGAGAAAAGAGAGCAAGCTGATACAGTCATAGCTTCTGGAGTCTGGGCCCCAAAGGGCAGAATCAACTATCCCTTTGCAGGGATGAGTCCGACAAACAGAGCCATGTCTGGCTGCAGAGAGAAGGGCACCAGCTAAAACCTTGGACAGGTGGGAGAGGAATGCCCAGCTGGGTGGGACAGGGTTCTCTAGTCACTGACACGGGGATGTTTCAGGTCACCTTCAGTTAGCATCTGGCCCTCAGTTGCCCATGAGTTAATCTGAGGAGGCACCTATAGGTCAGGTGAAAAAGTGTTCTGGCCCTAGCTGGTTTGTCTGAGTGCACAGAGCATCAGCATATGGACTGAAGGGTCCCAGGTTCGATTCCAGGCAAGGACACATGCCTGGGTTTCAGGCCCAATCCCCAGTAGGGGGCATGCAGGAGGCAGCCAGTCAGTGATTCTCTCTCATCATTGATGTTTCTATCTCCCTTACTCTCTGAAATCAATATATATATATATATATATATATATATATATATATATATATATATATATATATAGTGCTGATCATAAATTCCTAATTGTGCAGGTCATGGTGGGTAGTCACAGCTCAAGCCTATACCTTCCTTAGTAAAATGTTTATCCTTGCCTTAACCCAGCCCTGCCCATTTTTGTGTATCTAAGTTAACACCTTAGAAATGCCATAGCAGCCGAAACCGGTTTGGCTCAGTGGTAGAGCGTCGGTCTGCAGACTGAAGGGTCCCGGGTTCGATTCCGTCAAGGACATGTACATTGGTTGCGGGCGCATCCCCGGTGGGGGGTATGCAGGGGGCAGCTGGTCGATGTTTCTCTCTCATCAATGTTTCTCTATCCCTCTCTCCTCCTCTCTGTAAAAAAAATCAATAAAATATATTAAAAAAAAAAAGCCACAGCAATCCTCTTTTTCAGACCCGTCAGAGGCATAATCACCCTTGAGAGATCATTTATCTTAACTATCCTGTAATCCAACCCACACCTTGCTTTCTCCCATTTTCCTGTAATCTTCCTTACATTCTCATTCCTTAATTCCAAATGTGTAAAATAAGCTGCAAAACTGTTGTTTTTTTTTTGTTTTGTTTTTTCTTGGAGCAAGATTTGAAAATATCTTGGCAATGTCAGTTTAGCTCAAATAAACTCTTAGAAAAATTCTCTACAGATTTGGACATTTCTTATGTGGACAACTGCGAAAAAGACTTAGGCAATGCGCTGGAGAGTTTCCAAAGGGTATTCTCACTACCCCCTGGGGGAACAGAGTGTTGACACTGGTAAGACTTCTTGGGTGAGAGAGTAGCTTGGCCTGGAGTGGTACAGACAGGCTGTGGGACAACGAATGACAGTAGCCAGGCTTTAGGAAATGGCTGGAAACCAGTAGGGGTCAGATTCTAAAGTATTTGAGTGTTAAAATCCAAGGCAGAGACATGGTTTTTCCTTGGGCACTGATGGGCAGCAGGAATGCAAAGAAGATAAGGAGTCTGGGCCCCAAATGGCAGAATCAATTATCCCTTTGCAGGGATGAGTCTGACAAACTGAGCTAAATCTGGCTACAGAGAGAGGAAACACCTTTGCCACAATACATTTTCAGGCTGTGGCACCTGGCAGGAGAGTGAGGCCATGCAGGGAACAGGGAGCCCAGGTATGACGGGAGTGGGAAGGTTGACGAGGAGCTCATTTTGGGACATGTAGGTTGTGTTTTTGAAATATGAGATTTATTTTAGTGTTTTTTTTTCCCTTGCCCTGAAACAGAGGTTCGATCCTAAAGTCACAGCAGCATCAGGACCTTGGACAGACAGCCTGCCCACAGCCACTGTTTAGAGAAGGGACAAAAATCAGAATGCTCCGGGGCCAGAAAAGCTCTCTGGTGATGGATGCAAACAGCGGGCTATTCTCGCTAGAGTAAGGGGGCCGGTATTTCTCCAAGTCTTCCCTCTTTAGGGACAAAAGACCTAGAAAGCATCCTGACCTCTGGGCAACCTATTGCCTGGCACCATGATACAGTGCTTGGCAGATAGACTTGCCCTGGGCTGGTATGTATGCCCTTTCTCCTCTGTTCCTACAAAGCCCAGATTTCCCCCTCCATGCTCCCATTTGGCAAATTGGGGCTAGCACTGCTAGCCCATTTATGGTCCAGGGATGGTGGGGGCTCTCCAAGCTGTCTCTGCTTTCCTGAGAAAGCCAGGGACGTCCATTTGTCCCGAACCATTTCTGACCTTCCCAAAGTTCCCTCACTCCATCCCTCCTTTATCCATCTGTAAAATGGGATGATCAATAGGTTTAGGGGCAAATGACTAGCACACACATGATTTCATGTGCGTATAGCCTGGTTCCCCTCCAAAGGCCAGGGGAGGCGGACTGGTCCAGAGCTAGGGGGATGGGAGGAATCGGCCTGAGGCGGTGAGGTGGGGGTTGGCAGGGTGGGGGGCTAAGGTTAGATTCTGGCGGGCGCTGCCGCAGGGGAGCTAGGTGCACCGGAGCGCCGGCGGCCAGGTTGGTGGTACTCACCTCCGCCAGGGGTCGCCGCACTAACATCCCAGGCCACTGTAGGCGCCGATCCTGTCCAGCTTATGCCCGAAGCAGTTATTGCCCGAATTCTGCTTTGGGAATTTTTTTTTTGGCTTCTCCCGTGGCTTCTCCTGCAGAAGGCGGGCCCATCGAGTCTTGGTGTCCCGGAGCAGGCGCGACCGGTCGCCCCTGAGGTTAATGCCGCCGCCGCCGAGGGTCTTGTCGCGCTTCCTCTGGGAGCCGCTCTCAGCCTGGGACGCGGCTGACATCTCCCCGAGCGGAGTTCGCAGGCCCTGTCCGGGGGTGAGGGGGTAGGGGTGGGGGGAAGAGCAGGCAGGTGAAGAAGGGGCGCATCTCGGCGGCGAGGGGTAGGTTGGAGGAGACTTCGTGGGGCCCCTGATGCCCCAGCCTGAGGCGCCCGCGAGTGCGATCTGTCCCCTTCCAGAGCCCAGAGCGCGCCCCTGGAGACGCCGACCGACCGCCCGGCACGGCATCCACCTGCCACGCGGCCACAGTGGTCCGCTCCCTCGGGGAGCCCCTTACCCTCCCTGCTTTTGCCGCTCGCCCGGCAGGCCACCCTGGGGTAGGGGCTGCGCATCTGTCGACATTGTCCCGAAGCGGGGGTCGTAGACCCCTGAACCCGAGCTTCCAGGGCTCCCTGGCTGTCCCCCAAGCTCCTCTCCGAGGAGAGGACCGCCTTCGCGCCCTCTCCGGTCCCTCTTGGGGGCCGCATCTCCTAGAGCCCCAGCCACACAGCCTCTCACGGTCCCCATATCCCCGCGGCGGCACCCACCTTCGATGGCGAACCGGGCTTGGCTTCGGAGGGCCAGAGCGCGAGGAGGGTGAGCAGCAGGACGCAGGCCAGCAGTTGGGAAAGGTGCATGGTGCCCTGGAGGCGAAGGGGCACACGCAGGCGGCGGCGAGGGCAGATGCTCAGGCGAACGCGGGGCGAGCGGGCTGGCGGGGCTGCTGTGCGGGCGCGGGTCCCAGAGCTCCACGGTGCCGACTGTGCCGACCGGGTGCGCTCTGAGCCCGCAGCTCCGCTCGCGCCTTAATAAATCCAACCTGCCGCTGATGTCATCCCCCCGCCCACCCGGCCGCCCGGGCCAATGGCACGCGCTCCGGGGGCTGGGAGGGGGCTGCGGGGGCTCCCCCTCTGCCCCCACCCTCACCTCACCCCCGAGAGATCCCGCGGCTTGGCGGGCTGTCCTCCGATTGCGCTCGGAGCTAGCTGCAAAGCGGCGCAGCGCACAAGGGAACTCCATTTGCAGCGAGCGCGCGCCCCGGCCTGCCTAGCGCCGGTGGTCGGGCTGCCCAGCCTGCACGCTGGGACCTCCTTACACACCCTCTCCCTGGGAGGGATCGCTTTCCCTCTGGGCAGGTGCAAAGACAGGCTCAGAGGAATTAAACCACTTGCCCAAAGTCACACGGCCACAAAGTTGGCACAGCCCGAAATCCGCGCAGACCTGCCTTGTTGCCAAAGTCCTCCCTAGGCACCTGACAGGCTCGGGCCTGGGGTCGCGGCTCCACCTTTTACCTGCTCGCCGCGAGTTCGGATCTCACGTACGCCTTAGGAATGGGGAGGTAGAGAACCCGGCCGGCCGGAGGTTTAGGCGCAGGGGGAGCAGAGGGAGCATGGTTTGCCCTGGGTCTCGGTGGGGAGCTCTGAAAAGAGAGTGCAGGCTTTTCTCCCGCCCCTCGGTGAGTTTGAGAGCGAACGAAATGGGCTACCATGGCAGGCCCGAAATGCGAGCGCTCCTGCCTGTGTGCGGCGGCATGGTGTGACAGCTCCTGGGGCTCTAAAATGCGCGTTCAGCCCGGCCCCGCCGCACAAAATAAAGTCCCTGCGTCTGACCCGGCGGTGGCTTCCGTCTGCACGGACAGGGCCACGCCTGACCCTGTCTGCACTCACGCGAGGATCCACAGGGTGGGTTGTCCGCTGCAGAGTCTGGTGCACCTGCACAAGCTGCAGAGGGTTCTTTAGTCAACCCCGCGCCTAGTCTGGCTTCCGGGAACTGTGACAGGCGGTCGCCTTCACATTTTTGCCATAGAGAGGTCTGTGGGACATGGCCTGCTGCTCAGGATTCCCTCTTCTCCGGCTAGGCGTCTGATCCCTCCGGCTCTGAGGAGTCTCCAGGGGATGGGCCTCCAGGCAGAGAGCCCAGTACCCCAAGAATTGAGTGAGATGCAGGAAAACTGTGCCTGGGCTGGAGAGCGGAGAACCCAGGAAGAGGGAGGAAGCTCCAAGTAAGCAAGTCCTCCTCTTGGCCTACTGAACAAAGGATGTGGCCAATCTGGAACTTCTCCGAGACTCGGGCTTAAGGAGCCGGGCAGACAGACTCTAGGGCCAGGCACTGGGTTAGTGTCTGTGGGCCAGGGTGCAGTGGCAGCCTCCAGTGGCTAAGATGACCCGGATTCCAGAAATGAGTTTTTCTTCCTCACTTAGGAGAGGAAACTGCACCAGAGGCAGGAAGGTAGCCAGAATCAAGGGGTAAGAGAATCAGGTGGCTCTGCCGGGGAGCCTGGACCCAAAGCCAGGGGGCAATGGCTCTCTACATCCCACCCTGGCACACCGAGTCAGAAAATGCCCACCAACCAATTGTGCCCTCGGACCTTTTGCTTAAGAAATAGCCTACACCTGAGGCCAGAGTTTGGGTAGAAGAATCGCCTGCTTTAGAAGAGGATCCAGACATGAACAGGGCACCCTCTGTGAGTTCTGGTGAGTTGACTCCCCACGTCCACACAGGCCCCTCCAGATTGCCTCTTTGAGGTAACGTTTTTAGAGTGGCGCCACTCCTTCTATGAGGAGAAAGGAAGAGGAAAGGATCTGCAGGTGGACAATGGAAGTCCCTTTTCCTCTTTGCCTACTGGACAAAGAGGAATGTAAGCAATCTGGAACTTCTCTGAGAACTTCTTTATTTATACCGGCTATGTCTGATAGACTAACTCTAGGGCTGGTTTTGGGGGGCAACAGCTACAGCCTCTGAAATCCCTTATTAAGGACAGGTTGGAAGCCTCTGGTGCTCTGCAGTCACCTCTTTCTTCAGGCTGGTTCTTCCTGTCTTTGTCTCTTGGATGTACTTGGTGATAGCGAGCAGCCATGTAGGACTCCCTGTCTTTGGGCTTTGAGAATAAATCAAAGTGAACTGTGGAGCAAGGCTTCCCTGGGGCAGGCTCCACAGCCGCTCCTGCTGAGCCGGGGAGGTGGGGTGAGTGGACGTCCTAGGCCTGGGCTAGACGGACATTTAGGGAGGGAAGTGGTCGGCACATTACTGTCTTTGCAATGGAAGATTTCTCTCTCTCTCTCTCTCTCTCTCTCTCTCTTTCTGTCTCTCTCTCTCTCTCTCTCTCACACACACACACACACACACACACACACACACACACACACACCCTGCTCTTCCCCCTGGGTTTCATTGCACAGGAAGCTGCAGAGGAGACTCTGTGTGCCTCCTGGGCCCTGACTGAGCACTACGGTCCTTCCTGCTTTTTCCTCGTGAGGTCTACTCCTTCTGCTCGGGTCCCAGGAGCCAGGCCTGGGAAAGTTGGGCCCACCGAGCAGCTGACCATGAGCTGTGCGTGGCACTTTATTAAATGCTCGGTGTAAAGAGCCCTGATGGTAGAGGAAAGAGAAAAAGGCCTGGCAATTCTGCAGGGAATCCTGTCATTTGTCACGTTTCCACCCACCGATTCCCCGAAGATCCACTGAGCATCCCTGCAGCATACAACGTCCCAACCGGGCTGGAGGAACCCCCAGGAAACAGACACTAGCTCTGTAGGCTGGAAAGGATGTGGCAGGGAGGGAGAGCAGCTCCCGCAGCCTGGGCTAGAGGGCGAGCTTCCTGGAGAAGGAAAAGCCTGTGCTGAGCCAGGAAAGGAGACCCAGCAGAGGGAGAGAAGGGAAATCTAGATGGAAAACAGCAGTTTCCCATTGGGCGAAGGGGGAATGCGTTCGGGCTTTGAGGGATGCAATAAAAGAAAAACAACCAAATGAGAGATTGCTCTCACTACAGGGCAGCCCAGTGAAACCGAGGGAAGCCGGGAGGGCCTGAGGTTGCAGAACCCAGCGTGCCCAGACCTAAGGAAAGAAAAAGCGGGGTGGGCAGCATTCTGGTAGGGGTAGCCAGAGGAGGCAAGCTCAAGAAACAGGTAAGTCTGTGGTGGACAGTTCTGGAGGCAGGAGATGTGATAAAGTTGGGGAGGGGCTTGCCTTCCAACAGTGGGAGCCTACTGAGCTCTCGGGGGTGAGGAGGGCAAGCAAGCCTGGAGGCCAGCAAAGAGGAGGCTGAGGGAGAGTGGTCAGTTGTGGGGACACAGACAAGGAGCAGGGAATGGGGAAAGTCAGAGTCAGGCTGAAGCGTGCTAAGGCCTAGTCATTAGAGAATTGCATAGCTGGGACCCTCTTCTCCCTCCTGGATTCTGAAAGGTGGGAACAGGGAGAGAAAAGATTTCATTCTTGTGAGTCCCTCTTCCCTTTTTCTCCTCCTCCACGGAGGGCAAAGTAAGGCTCTTACATCTACCGCGGACAGGCCGTTCCTTGGGACCGTCGATGTTCAGTTCTTTAGCAAGATCCTATGGAAGACGAGAGTGGGTCTGGATGAGGATACCTCGGGTGAGAAAGGTACACAAATGCCGAGGGATGGCTGAGAGAGGATGGTCCAGCGCCCCTTTCCCAGAAGGTGGTAACTGCTCCCTTTGGAACAGCGCCCCCTCCTGGCCCTGGCGCCGGACAGAAGGATTCTCAGGCACACTGAGGAGGGGAGGATTGCTCCGCTGCCCATCTGTTTTCTCTGTAATTATTTTATCCCAGAGGCCTCCTTCCAGCTGCATCACTTCCCAGAGAGGACACGGAGCAGGCGGTGAGCAGATCTCATGAAGGCCAGGCAGGGAAATTGCAGCAGGACCCTGGCCAAGTCCCATCACTGCATGGGGCCTTCGGTTTCACCACCTATAATTGGGAAAAAGCAGAATGAATCAGGAGGCCGGAAGAGAGGCTTCTGACCCCTGGATGAAGGCAGGACAAAGCAGCTGTGGCAGAAGAGGGCTCTGCATGTTACTGCACAAACACACACACACTTCCAGACAGGGGGACCCTGTACCCCCAGGATTACCTGAGACTCTTTGGTGGTGGGAACCCACAGAAAACACAGAGGTCCTGGTCTGGCCACGTCTCCTTGAGCTTGTAACCCTCTCCAGGAGTCCCGCACCTATCAGGTCTGGCGTAAGGAGATGAGTTGGAGGCCAAGGAAGCATCATCCATCCTCCCTGGGCCAGAAATTCCAGGAAAGCTTAACCTCATTGTGACATGAGGTCTTTGTCTGACCCCAGGACACTCCCACCTGATGAGCCAGCTGCTCTCTTTTTCCTTTCCCAGGGGCCCTGCCAGCACCTGCTGCAGATGGCTCGCAACCCTGCTGTCCTACGCAGGCCCATGACGTCAGAGTTTATCCCTCCTTTGCCACCCCCCTTCCATAAGAGACAGATAAGCTCCACAGATAGTCTCAACAAACAGGCTCTGTTTCCTGGGGCAGGGTGGGGGTGGGGGGGTGGGGGAGAAGCTGCTCCCCATAAGGCTATCAATAGGCAGACGAGGCGGTAAGAAGCTGAGGCCTAAACCCTGAGAAAGTGAGCAGGGTAGTGAGGGAGAGGCCCTCCCCGCCCAGGACGAAGCAGCATCCCGACCTCAGCGTGGAGCGTGCACCAGATGTTTGCAAAAGGAATGGATCTGCTGCTGGGCCCTGTGCCTGGGGACCTGGCTTGCCTCGGCTGGGTTTTGGAGCTTTTCGATGTAGGGAGTGGCCCCTTGCTGCTCTGGAAGTCCCTGCAGGGAGCTTCTTAGTGTGTACCCAGAGGAGGGTGTCTATTGTCTGGTCTTGGAGACCG